GTTCTTTAGTTCCATTGGGGAAGCAGTTGCAGGGTTGGCAACCAACAGGATTACTAAGACTGATGTTGAAATACCCAGGCTGACACTGGTTACAGTTCTTGCCGATYACATRACGTTTACATGTACAGTTCCCTGACAGTAATTCACACTGACGTGACATACCGACTGTTCCCTTTGGGTCACAAGTACRGGGTGTACAACCATCATCAAGATTAGAGGAGAGGTTARAATATCCCTTKYGGCAAATATCACATTTCTTYCCCTCGACGTACGTTTTACAGTAACACTGCCCATCGGATTTTTGACAAGTRCTTAGYAAATTGGGYTGTGTTCCTGCTGAGGAACAGTTGCACGATTTACAACCATCTCTTCCTAGACTGTGATAACCATTTGCACACTGATCACAACGACGCCCAGTTGAGCCTGCCTTACAGCTACACTGGCCAGTGGTCGTATCRCAAAGGGTGTTTAAAGAGCCGAATGGGTCGCAACCACAARCTTYACATCCYGTAGGTTCMAAAGAACTCAGTCCAAAGAAACCAGATCGACAGGTGTCACACTTTATTCCTGTGACGTTACTCTTGCAGTGACACTGACCGGTAGTTGCGTGACATGATGTATTACCACTAACAGTACCAGCTGTGTTGCACTGACATGAAACACAACCTGTTACATGGCTACTCTTCAAATCAAMGTAGCCTGGCTTACATTCATCGCATTGCCGTCCTTGTGTGTAGTTTTTGCATCCACACTGTCCTTCTTTARCCCCAACTATCGAGTCATCCTAGAAAAGAGGATGCGATTATCATTWAAGTGTCATTCCTTTTCGCTATCAGCTAACTATCAAAATTATTTTTTTATTAGAAATTAAAAATCATGTGGAAATTGTATTGCACACTACGTGCACTTCCGATAAAYTGAACGTCGTACAGGATCAGAATTAGCTGGAATGCATGTTTCCCACTAATGCGAAAGATGCTCAATGACGTCGTTGTCGTGTATCACATTTTAACTGCAAAGTCTGGCGCGGGCCTTGATTGGTTTATTGAATGTTACCTATACATGTTCAAGATCAAATATTACCTTTTGGTACAGTCAGGTAGACCGGAGCCGGTCGACGACAACACACTGATTTTTTAAATTGACTGTATGTATAAATGTATACCTTTACACAGTCATTTTCGTTTGGCAAGACACCAGGCCCAGTRCAYCCACATGGTGAACACACATCACGAGCACTCAAACTTTTTCCACTCTCTCTGTAAAAGTTTTCTTTACAAATGTGACAGTAGCGTCCAGTGGTGTTGTGTTGACAGTCATCACACACTCCCCCTCCTCCGTCAGTTCTTGAGTCCGGGTTGGGGTCCAGAGATTCATTGTAGTAGCATCGTGATGCATGGCCATTGCACTGGCATTTAATGCATGGAAAGCTGTCTGAATGACTGCCTCTTTGGAATGCCTTGTTGTTGTACAGTGCCTGGCAGCGATCACACTGAAAATAAACAAAATTAGCAAATTAACACTAGCCACGAAATAATGCAATAGATAGACTACATCATTTTCAACTCGATATTTCAAATCGAAGTGAGTGGTAGATATTGCAAGGGATTAGATGTAGGTACAGTCAAGGGGCCGCCTAGTCGCTCCCCTGATGTCTTCAGGCTAGAACATTATTATTATTATTATTATTATTATTATTATCATATCCGTACTCTAAGGACAAATGGACCTTATTGTCGTCAGGTCCAAAGTCCATACGGTGCCTCAGTTTCTGCAAATGTCTAAGGAGTATGGCATAGTTGGAATCAAATTTTTACAGTTTTGTCAKTGACTTGGGTTTTGTCAGTGAATTGGTTCGAAGAGTGAGCCTTATGCAGATGATACTTTCTTATCTAATCATCTTTTTATTTGTAAAAAAAAAACATTCCTGCCAAGGGCATTCCACTGCAAGGGTGGATTTTAAATAAATTATAATTAAACATAATATAACCATGATTCAAGATACCTTTTCGCCTTCAGTGAAAGTCGATGGCTCACAATGGCAAACACATTTTTTGTGTGTTGCATTGTACGTAGCTTCTTTTGCATGACCAAAACACTCGCACCTGTAGGAGGAAAATAGCTTAAGGAATCCTTCTAGCAAATATACGAACACTCCCTTTTTTTAAAAAAATCTCACGTTTTACAGAGACTACTTTTAGGGCTTTTCTAAATCCTTAGAGAGGACACAATTACGCTTTTCAACGGGGCTCAACCTATATACCGATTCGGTTTCTGCTCGTCAGTAGGATAACACAGAAGAAATGGAAAAGAAAATGGAGAAAAACGTACACACATTAGTATCTAACCATGCGCATGGTTGTAACTGATAGCCGATGTGAGATAAATGGCAAGAAAAATTCCAAATACGTACAGGTAAAGTGTTATTTATTTATTACTTGAAAAATCAAATGGGAATTCTTTCCTCTCTAGTTTCGAAAAAGAGACGCATGCATCCTTAATTTAGGAGCATACTGTATGTAGAAGCGAACCCATGAGTTACAGAATGAGGAATCTAATGGAATCTAATGGKATAATCTAATGCGGGGATTTACCACTCYGGATCAGGGGGGGGGGGGGGGGGGGGGGGGGGCGGCGGCGGGGGGGGGGGGGGGGGGGGGGGACGGTGGGAGAGCCTAAAGGGTTTTACAGCCCACTTGATAAGACTATCGATTGATGGAATTTTTAAAGATGTTAAATTTTGTGAACGAAGAAAAAACCGAAGAACCCTCAAAGCACAGAAGAAAACCTATAAATAATTTTATTTAACATACGACAGCGAATCCGGGTCGCATTGGTGAGAGGCGGCACGTTAGCGGCGCGCACCATCCCTGCTTACCTGCCAGCAACAACGATCCTGTTTAAAGCAAAGTATCGGTGCTTTTCATTTTTCACCAACGTATGGTTRTAAAAAGAGAATTTCACGTGTGAAGCTTTCAGGAATTCCAACAGYTTTTTGGAACAGTAGAGATTATCACATGRGGATCCAAATGGCCRTATTGGTACRKACGAGCCTGGTGTTGGTGGTTGTTCGGTCTTGAAGGACACTGAAGCACCTGATGATTTYAGAGGCCTAAAAAGTACAGATCGTAATCTGTAGCATTCATGGTTATTATGTGATTCTTCTTGCAAGTTATGGYAATGGTGATGGTCGTGGCGGTGGTRGTGGTGGTGGTGGTGATAGCAAATGCTATTGAAAGTCATATCTGTTGTCAACAGAAAATGTTGAGGTTGTTGTTCGTGATGTTGATGATACARCATGCGTAAATGCTATTGGAAGTCAGTCATGTCTGTTGTGGCTGATAATGAACGATTATTGGATGAGGTTGAGCACGATATCGTACTGAAATTATCAAAACCAAGGCCGTGTTATCTGCCAAAGCCGTTATTATACACTTTGTAAAATAAGAAAAAATATTTAATTCTGCTTTTAAATAAAATAGCAAACGCATCCCAATATCCATTGTGACCTTGAGTAAACTTGACATAAAAGTATTACCTGCAGAAAAACCTACAGATAATATGTTTATCATGTCAAGTTTGCACGACTTCAGGGATTGGCTGAAGTTAAGGTTCTCGGTCAATCAGAAGCAATATAGTGTCTGAGTAAAATTGATCGATAACTAATGATGTTATCACGTAATGCAGGAAAACTGGTCACTCTTGTGAAGATTAGGTTGTTGTTGGCAGTGATGGTGGTGGTAGTGATGATKGTGAGAATACAGCAAATRTTATTGKAAATCATRTCTGTTGTAGCAGATGATGGTGATTGTACGTTAATGCAGGAATGTTGGTCACTCTARCTTTTTATGATGAGGGTTGTTGGTGGTGATGGCTATGATAAAGGCYGCATAGTTGATTTGCATTTAATGTTTTGGGGTTGATGATGCTAATGGTGGTATTGATAGTATTAATGCTAGCAATAAAGCTGCAGCATAGAAGATGTAGGTGCTTGTGTTGGGGGTGGTGATGGTGTTAGTGGTAATGGTGGTTGCTGGTAGTAATGACAAGGACACAATTAATACACTCACAGTTCATATTGAATACAGTTAACAGAGTCTGACTCCGCTARTGGACCATTGTTTGACATATTGAATGATTTGACACAGTTCTCTGCAAAGTACTGCCAAGGCTGAAATGCATACCCATCACGTGACCTCTCTATCTTTATAGCACCTGGTTGAGGCCCATAAAACTCAAGAATGATGTAAAA